CATATACGGACCAATCACAGGGAGACATCGGCGTACTGCTCTTGTCGGTAGAAACGCTCCACACCCTTTGTTTCTCGAGCTGCTCGTCCGCCGATCGACGAAGATAGTTCAGGAGAAGATGCGGGCTTCAAAGTGACGGAGGTCATGCAGACAACTGACAGCCTGTGTCATTGTGCGGTGCTCCCTCTCAGTGTGGTGGAAACAGACTGACAGTTTCACAGGAAAAACGGCATGTGTCATTCCAGCAAGCATCATTATAGGCTCAACCCCCCAAATTCCTTCGGTTGGGACATAGCGCAACAGTCAATATGTCTTAGGGACTGGAGGGGGGAGAGGGGGGGGGGGGGGGAGCGAAAAACGTGTGCATCGGAGTGCAGATCAAACATGACCTGCTACGGTTTTACGTCTTACTCTAGCTGTCACGACCACGACCTGCTGTATGAATAAGGGGCCGCCAATTCCAGGAGCGGTTTCCCTGGCCCACCATAGAGCCTCCTGATCCAAAGGATGGGCCTTTGGGAATAGGAAGTCCCCTGATGCCTAAATGTACCTCCTGATCCAGAACAGGGACCTCGGGATCTAGAGAGGAAGCCTCTTAATCCGGATCAGAGACATTCCGATTCATAAGGGAGGCCTTCAAAACCAGTAATCCCCAACCTTAGCACAAAACAGGGTCTCTTGATCCAGAGCAGGATCTTCCTAATTCATATTAAGAGGAAGCAGATCGAGAAGGAGTGGTTGAAACCTCCTGTCATTTTCAAATATGCACGCTGGGCAAATGACACCACCGGCCTGGGATTTCCAATATCGCTTGACAACTGCTGTGAGCCAGCGGGCAAAAAGTAACTACAAAGTTAGAGTTGCTATACCGAGTGCAAAATGCCGACACAAGATAATGTCACCGTTATTATTTCCTTATTTACAAATCAGGCTGTTCGCATTCTTAAAACTGACCCTAAAACCCATATTATTATTGGTCTTGTCGCATTTCAGCATGTGCTCGAGTGCGGACAGGCTCATTCAACCCTCTCACAATTTTCCAAAGTAGTATTTTAACAGTGCGGCGTGGCCACGTCAAACTTGGCATAGACGGAGACCGTGGAATAGTTGATCTTGTGGTGCAAACAATAAGATATGTATTTTAAAATAATGGACCTTTAGTGATTGAACGTCAGACTATGGCTGCTATTAAAGACATTTCTTTGGGCAACTCCAAGGTTAGTGCGGCAACAAAGGCTTAGACAAGAACAAATAAACAATAAGCAGAGGGCAAGTTGTTAAGTGCAGTTGCGGGTGTGTGTGTGCGTGCACATAATGCATATAGATAATACAGCGCTGTAAGCCTTATGCCTTTTACAACAACCAGGGAAAGGTAAAGAAAGATATGAGTATCAGCGGATATGGAAGATCACTAGTATCAGTAATATCATCACCAATATTCGTTTCAATAAAGACATGTAGCCAAAGCAACAATGCATCTAGCTTTCCTTTCTCCTTGTTATTCTGCGAGGAGAAAGGCAACAGTTCTGTCCTATCTAGTCAACGTTAGGATAACAACCAATTTCAGTAACATTCATGCAGCTAGGTCATAGCTAGGTCATAGCTAGGCATCTAGGTCGACGATCATATCGTGGCCGAAACCGAACAGTTTTTGAATGTTGTACCCTTGTACAACAATGTTGTACCTTTCTTACTGTGTGATATGTCGGACCAATTGACCGCCCCACCCGAGCGCGTCGTATTCAACGGGCTACCTTGGCACAACTTTAGTTTGCAAGCTTGCACTGAGTCACAGTTCGTGTTCTGTTGTCATCGGGTCCAAAGCCACCTTTCATTTCCTCGGTTGGACGTAAGAACCAGTGGCGTAGAGGACGCTCTTTAACGAGGAGCACCCCTTCTAACGCTGAATTGCATTTTGTGTGGGCCTTAATGTTACGCTCGGTGGCAAAACTACAATAGTATTACGCTATATTCCTGCTTCAAGTCGTTCGAGAATGCATTAAAAACCAACGGCGCGTAATAGCAAACATGCGTTATCCGGAAAATATATACAAAACAAGCACTATTATTCTCACATTGCTGAGAGGAATTTTACTGGAAACAATCGACTTTGAGTCAGGGTCAGTTTGCTCGCCTTGTTGAAATGGACCTACTAATCGCTCAATCAGTATTATGCATTTTTAAACATACCGGGAACCAAGGGCTTATTCCATTTCTGCCCTCTAATGGCAGAAACCAAAAACTATCGGTGTTCCGCCGGCGCGGTGGCGAACGATGGCCTTGGGCCGCCAGCAGGAACCTAGAAAAGCGAGTGTCGGAGACCGCAGATCTGAGGTTTGCCACCTGCATCGTTATTAAACGCTATCGCACGAGCTTCCTTCCGAAAATAGAACGCAGTCCTATGGATTTATTGTCAGCTGCAAACGACTCACCTCAGCCCGGTGAGTTAATCATTTACTCAGAACAAATTACGTATACTACTTATCCGACGGTCCTTTGTTATGAGAGTGTGTCTTATGAAGCAGAAGTATCAAAGACGTCATAAGTGTTGCAGCCGCGCAATACGTTTTGGCATTCTAAGGGCGGCCGGCTCTACGCCAGCTTATTCAGCAGAAACTGCGTAGGGCCGTCGCCGCGCATTTCAGCATGCTACTGTGTGTGGAGAAAGTAATTCCGGAATTCCTAGGTTTTGACAACCACCTTTCTCTTTGCTGCGCTTGCGTGCCTGGCTGCAGAATCTGGGAGTAACTTTTTCGTCGGATTTGTGACGACTATTGACTAGCTGTGGGGATATCCCGGGAGGTGCTTAATGCCTCATAGCCTTCCTCAGGGTGGTTGTTTCTCAGGAACTGCCAGGCGAGGCTGAAGACCAAGATCGCTACACGGACGCCACCATGAGCGCTGGCTGACCCGGCCACGGGCGCCACCATGAACGCTGGCTGAGCCCGCCACGGGCACCACCATGAGCGCCGGCTGACCCGGCTATGGGCACCACCATGAGCGCTGGCTGACCCGACCACGGGCGCCACCATGAGCGCTGGCTGACCCGGCCACGGGCGCCACCATGAGCGCTGGCTGACCCGGCCACGGGCGCCACCATGAGCGCTGGCTGACCCGGCCACGGGCGCCACCATGAGCGCTGGCTGACCCGGCCACGGGCGCCACCATGAGCGCTGACCCGGCCACGGGCACCACCATGAGGCTGGCTGACCCGGCCACAGGCGCCACCATGGGCGCTGGCTGACCCGGCCACGGGCGCCACCACGAGCGCTGGCTGACCCGGCCACGGGCGCCACCATGAGCGCTGGCTGGCTCGGCCACAGGCGCCACCATGAACGCTGGCTGACCCGGCCACGAGCGCGTGGTCTAGTCCGCAGAACTGCGTTTGGAGCGGCGCTGATTCGGCTCATCCGCCCACAATGGTCTGCGGTCCGGTGGTGGATAGTGTCCTCGAGAGTTGACCAGCGCTGGTCGAGGCCTGCCTGAAGTGGCTCGATCAGTGCTGCGGGAAATAAGGAAAGGAGGTCCGCTCTCGTCAGCTGAAATAATGTTTTCCGAAATCCATCCCGTTTAGCCCCGCGTTGATTGTTCTAAACGGCACGCCTGTCAGTGCATGCACAATGCAGGACTTAGGACCGGTACAGATTCCGTACATGCTGGACGCGACTACGTTTCCTGGTTTAGCGTATAGCTTTTATATCGGTGCTTATTGTGAGTTTTCCCTTACAATGAATCAGTCTGTCACCCTGCCTCCTCCGCTCAACTAGATACCCGCTTGTATCCGTCCCAGCAGGGCGGCATTGTTAGACATGTACTTTATCGAACCACAGGCTTTATCGTAGTGAGTTTACCTCTTGTAGATGTGGTTGGCCGTCTCGGAACCCTCTCAAATGTTTCAGAACGTCGTCCAACCCAAAGTTACTTGGCCAACAAAGGTCTGATAGTGTCATGAACTGAAATGAGTGTCATAAAGTTTGTTATTATTGCATACCTGTGAATTGGCTTCATACATCCATTTTAAAAGGCCCCATTGACCGTCTTGGCAGTGCAAACGTGGATCAATCACGAGTTCCCGATATTGTGAGGCCACTGGCGCCTGGAAGAAGTACGGCTTGCTTCTTTGCAGTTCACGTCTGGTGTGCTTTCGCGTGAGCTGACTCATAGGGTTTTGCAGTGATCTCGACCAGTGAGCGCGCAATGTCTGGAACCTCTGTCGGTTAAGCCTGGTTGTGTTGTTCGAAGTGTTGTGAGATATAGTACAGAGATATTGATATGTCTGATCCATCCTCGATGTTGTTAAGTATCTCAGGGTCTAGGAGTTTGAGAACCTGATTTGTCCTCTGGAGCCCGCAGCCTTGGAATCCTGAACAATATTACTGAAGTCTTGGTTATGTAGGGCCCTTTGAACCGAAACGGGACTTCTTGATCGGGCGTTGGGACCATTCAAACCGATGCCTAGGACCAAACAGCTTCTGTGGAGCGCCGTCCGCTACTCCGCCCACAACAAAACGGCCTCTTTTGTTTTCACTCGTTTGCGCGGAGGCCCATATTAACATCACCTTATAAGCAGTTTTTAAAGATCGATCCCAACTCTTTGATTGGGATGAATTCCTGGGATCAGAGCTCACGCTAGGTAGTGCTTGTTGTGCGAGCCCTGACCTCTGTCGTCCGATCGCGCATTGCGAGCAACGGCAGGATTTGATGGCGAACGTTTAACGTAACGCAATGCTCGTTACGGTCCGCCCTGCCCTCTAATATCAACCGACCTTTAGCGCGGGGGCCGCTGCCCACCGGCCGCAGACCGTACCTGTCAAGAGCGAACGTCTGAAGCGACTCGAACCCACCCCGCCACGGGTTGGGTGGATCGGAAGGCAGGCGCCTCTAGCCAACTCAGCCACCGGGACGAACTGGTGTAGTAGAAACGGAGAGCGCCGAGTGTCCCCGAGTTGGTCTCCTCTCCCATCATTGATAACATCTTGCTTATTTTGGTGTTTCGGCAGGGAACGTCCACAAACCTGCACCATGGTTTCAAGAGCGGTTTTCGTCATTGTCTGCGCATCGCTGTTCCTTTCTGGTAAGTGGAGACTCTGCCACTGCAGAAGCATGTCCAAAAGCTGCAGTGCTCGAACAAACAGGAAATAATTGTTTGGAAACCAGCCAGCACAAGGCCGCGTAAGAATCACAAGGAAACTCGCAACAATATGTTAAAAGAGAGAACGTCAACAATCAGATTGAAACAGCTCAACATTAATAGAAGTTGGCATAGGAATGTTCAACGTATAAAAGTTCAAAAGAACAAAAATTGACGGCGATAAAGTCATGATCGAAACTACGCCAAAAGGTTACATTTTTTGCAGGAATGTGTTGCAAAATAAAAAACCAGCGAATGATGAATTTTGTATAACAATACGATGAAATCAAACAGGCTAGAAGAGTGGTTTAGTGCTAAAATTTTATATCGCAATTTGATAAAATCCAGCAGGTGTGAAGAGTGGTTTAGTACTTAACAGGTGTTGAAAAGTTGGCACCTACAACAGCTTTATTTTGATTTCATCTCACGGCAAAATTATCGACGTAGATGGGGCACCAAAGGTCAAAAAGGTCAAATGAGTGTGTACAAATAAAACACATTTGGGAACATATGGGACCTTCTGGCCTGATTGTACATCATTATTTACGGTAAGACATTGCGAATTGACATTTCACATGAGCCATCTATCATTTTCCAGTTACCAGTATGTGGTCCAGTGTGATAAGAGCTACCCACCGACGTTTTCTCTGCACACCATACAGCACACGGTTATTGGGAAAATATCGTGGTCACTGTTTGGAGGCCACCGACTTGATGTGACCCATCTTGAATCACCTTTACCGGTGCTTGATGACACCAATCCTATGCAGTTTCGTCAAGTCTAGCAGATGCTGTCATAGCCGTTCCTGCAGCTCAGTTGGCGGAGAATCAGCACTCTGACCTTGGTATGTGACAGGCATGCTGGATCGTGTCCTCAACGCGAGTCTGTGCGACATGTCGGTCAGCTGGTAACTGGCTGAGAAAAAGAGGCTGAAACGACCATTATAAACATCTCTTTCTACTACTACACACAACTTTCCATGATACGGAGATAGAAGTACAAAAATGGAAGAAAAAACTGCGAGCGCGCAGAGGAAGGAATGAAGGGCGGTAGTACACATTTTAACACAAGTCTGAAGCGCATAAATTGGTCGTGATAAAGATCCAAAAGCAAAGAAGCGTCAACATGCACGTCTACACGGAGAAGTCCTAAAATACACATTCTTAGTGCCTGATTTAAGCCGAAATGTACCAAAGTAAGCCGCTTTCCAAACTGGTAGATTTGTAAACGAATGGCGAACGAATTATTGGCAAGGAGAGAGATTAAATCCTGTCAAAGACCTTTAAATGAGCGGTACCTTTCTTCTTGCCTTAACACGCATGTTTTGTTGATAATTTAGTTGATCTCTGTCCGTCGTTTGCTCTTTCTTCAACATGGAGCGGATAAAAGGTACACAAAGAGGAATTTCAATTCATTCTCCGTACACCATAACAATGAAGTGTTGATTGGTCTGTCTTAATTCTTTGACCGTTGTTCATATCATTATGCACACCTTTTTTGTGTGTTTTCGTACGGGCCTGTGTGACCTGAAACCGTGAAAGCCACCATGTGGATGGTTTCCAACACACGGATACTGATACTGACACACTGGCAAAGCCAATGGATTCAGAAGAGTCAGCTGGCATCCGTAGCAAAAGTTGCGTCACAAAATAAGTTGCCTTTGAAAATGATTTCGCGTATTGCGCTCGCCAAATTTTTCACTCCAGTTTGGAATTTGTCGAGATCAGCCGGTTTTGAAATTGGTAAATTGTGAAGAAAGAGGGAATGGTTCTCATGAGAAAAGGTATCAAACAAATCTGGAGATATAGCAATATCTTGTAGGTTGAACGTAAGGCTTCATCATAGCAGGAGCGAGGGCCAATATCCCAAACATTTGACAGCATTCATAGTGATTACTGATAATTATGGTTACACTCGTTTTTTTGTTTGTTTGTTATCTTTCACATCTCATGGCTAGGAGTGCTGCTGCCTTCAGCATCTCAGTTACTGATAACGGTATTAAATGGGGTGGGCCGCATTTGTATCGGGTTTTGAACAGAAATAGCCATCTCGAAGGTCATCCAGTACATTTCACAGTTCTGCTGTTATTGAAACCTAAACCCCTTTACTTTCTGAGCTATACGCCCGCGAAGATGTGCAGACTATTTGGTGCAGACTATCTGAAGGTCACTCAGGCATCCATGACGCAACGATAACGTCATTCAAATGATGCCATTCCATTGGCCATGCTGTGATCAAGGTCGAGCAAATATATTGTGGAGTCGGTCATATCTGGCGTTCGTGATCACGGTTTCCAGGTATTGTGGCCGTCGATTGGCTCTCATTCAATGCTGTGCAGGGTGCGATGACGCAGCCAATGACGTATTGAGGAGTATGTTTATTAAATAGATAAATTTTGTTTTCTGGAACAGTCTTTTCCACTTAAAAGGATGGCAGTAGTGAGGAGTTAGTTAATGTTTTTCATATCTGCCGCTTGCTTCAGTTAGTTTATTTCATTACATTTGATGCTTACTTCAATATGTTCAAATGTGGAACATTTCCTTCAGCGTAAGGTTCTGTGCGCTGCGGTGGACAAGAGTGGGCACTCGTTGTGACCTGTTTATGGATGATGGATAGTTAGACATGCATGTGGGCCTGTGTTTGCGCACATAGATGAAGCAATCTGTGCGCACATTTGCGCACATCCTGAAAACCAATGCCTCGAAGTTTTATCCGTAGCACGTGGTTTGTCACGAGCTCGTTAAAACAGCATCTGCGCAGATTGAAGCACCAATTTAGCCCGATTGACGATCGAAGCACGCAGATTGAAGCGCGCGTCCCTTCCCCCGCTCGTTGTTCTTGCATATTCTGATCAACAAAGGCATGCCTGCTCTGCCCTCTCTGGTTGATCATCACCAAAGCGCCGTGTTGAGCGCCACAGCTCAGACCCGCGTAATCCATGCCGGTGACTGTTCGCGTCTCGCTGGCAGTCGTGAGTCGCGCGGCGCGGGCACGTTGTTGTCCCGAGGCTTGTGCCGACTCACTGCCTGTGACGTCGCCCGGCCGTCCGGGGGATGTAGCCGATTGACGGCCGCTACCAGGCGGGCTCTGCAGGACCAGTGACCTTGTTATCCCGCGCGTAAACCATCGCCAGAACACTGTTCAGGCGGTGGACGCTGAAGGCCGAGCGCATCTGGAAGGCACGAGCGCGTGCAAGAAAAGTGCATTACGGTGGTGAAGAAAAGGGTGAACTCCGACCTCGAAGGCAAGTGGTCACGGGGCCTGATGAAGGCGGCGAAGGTCGCGGTCTGATGAAGCCGAGCCACGGCACGTGGTGCCAAAGCCCGGTGAAGGCGGTGAAGATCACGGTCTGGTGAGGTCGTGCCACGGCAAGTGGTGCCAAGGCCTGATGAAGGCAGCGGTGAAGGTCGCGGTCTTACGAAGCCGAGCCGCGGCAAGTGGTGCCAAGGCCTGATGAAGGCACGGTGAAGGTCGCGGTCTTATGAAGCAGAGCCACGGCAAGTGGTGCCAAGGCCTGATGAAGGCACGGTGAAGGTCGCAGGTCTTACGAAGCCGAGCCACGGCAAGTGGTGCCAAGGCCTGGTGAAGGCACGGTGAAGGTCGCGGTCTTGCGAAGCCGAGCCGCGGCAAGTGGTCGTAGAGTCTGGGTCCTGCACAGCTTCCGTAACATTAGCATAGATTTGCTTGAATATAGACGTAAGAGGCTTTACCCTCATGCCGTTCAGTAAGGCGCCTTAATGGGCATGGGAAGAGCGAGATGATAACAGAATGAATCATCCCATTATGTGAAAAAAACAGAATTCAAACAAGATGAACAGAGCCCGATGTCTTTTGGAACATACACAAATGAGTAATACGATTAAATGTCTTTCGGAACAGATACACACGAGTAAGACAACCAAATGCTTTTGGGAACATACACAAATGAATAATATAAACCAGATGTCTTTTGGAACATATACCAGTCAGTCACACCGTTGCATTGGAGTATCTTTGTCTTAAGTGACATTAGCAGGCCTGGAAAATGCGTTGTGAAGTGCTCGCGCATCATTCTCAAACGATTTGCTTCAAACATGACTGGCTATGCCCCACCCCCCCCCCCCCCCCCCCCCCCCCCCAAGCGTCCAAACATAGACGGACACATGATTTCCCTCAAACTGACATGCTGCACTACTTGCGTGTGGTGAGTTCTTTTGTTGCCTGTTGTTTTTTCATTAAGGCGGCGCCACGAGCCTTTTGAGGTTGCATTTGAAAGACCTGCTTTCATGCCGGCGCCACCGTAAAAGGACCTTCAATGCCTTTCGGTCTATCTTTTGCCTATAACTCCTTTGCGTGCAGGACTTGCTTATTCACGCAACTATTCTACGTTTCTCCTATGAAACTATTTCCTACGCTCCTGATAGCTTTGGTGGACGTAACCCAGTCAATTTTCTACCACATCAGCAGAGAATGCGAATAGGTTGTTTTATTATGTAACTTCCGTCCAAGACATGTGTAAACGTTTATTTGACCGGAATCAGCAGTAGTGTATTCGGACGTGAACAATATTGCCTTAAAGGGAACACTTCATATTTGAAGATATGGAAGCTTGCATCCGATATTATAAAATAAGCTCACTTATAATTATTGTTATTTACTAAGTAGAGAAATGGTATCGTCTAGAACAGTATGTTTTACTTTTAAGTACATGTCCCTCAATACTTTATTGTGTGATTGTGTCATCGTACCTTGTACAACTTTTGTTGCGAGCCAGTTGACGGTCTTTGTACCTGGAAATTGTGTTCACGAACGTCAGGTTATGAAGGGCTCAACAGCTATATTTTCCTTGGCCTTGTTCGCCGCACGGCTCATGAAATGACAGGATTTGAATGACGTTATTATAACATTATGAATACATGAGTAACTTTGGAATAGTGTCTCCAAATAGTTTGCGCAACTTCGCGGGCACATAGCGAGGACAGTACCTGGGTTCCCCCTAAGTGACCCCTGTACCTGGGTCGGCCTGAGTGACCCCTGTACTGGGTCGGCCTGAGTGACCCCTGTACCTGGGTCGGCCTGAGTGACCCCTGTACTTGGGTCCGCCTGAGTGACCCCCTGTACCTGGTCCGCCACGCAGGGTATTGTGTGCCGTCCGAAAGACGACTGCACGATGACCTTCTGGGCGCCGGGTACAACAAGGCGGTGCGAACCGGTTCTCAACGAGGTCCGCGAGCGTCAATGCGAAGCTGGGGATGAGCTTCATCGACTTCAGCTGGTGAGTTTGGCCGTACCGTCGCGCCACACCTCTCTGGTGACCCGACGGCCCACCCTGGTGAGTTTGCGACAGCCGCGCCAGACCTCCCTGGTGACCCGACGGCCCACCCTGGTGAGTTTGCGACCGCCGCACCAGACCTCTCTGGTGACTCGACGTCCACCCTCGTGAGTCGATGTACCCGCCGCGCCAGACCTCTCTGGTGACCCGACTGCCCACCCTGGTGAGTTGGTGTACCCGCCGCGCCAGACCTCTCTGGTGACCCGACGTCCACCCTGGTGAGTTGGTTACCCGCCGCACCAGACCTCTCTGGTGACCCGACGTCCACCCTCGTGAGTTGGTCTACCGGCCGCGCCAGACCTCTCTGGTGACCCGCCGGTCCGTGGCAACATCCACCCCATGCGAAGTCGACTAGCTGATGGGCTTTGACAACCTCAGTCATCAGCTGGCAGGGCTTTCCAGCCCTGAGCTCGGACATTGCCCTACGTGCGTCTTGTGTGCTATTCGAGCTGAAGCCCGCGCTTTGTTGACTCCAGTCTTTCGGAAGTGTGTTGGTATGTGTCTTCCCGACGCGTGGCTGTGCTATATACCGCCGTGGTCTATTCCCAGGACTCGAACTCGGACGTGAGGGAGTCCCTGGTGTGGATGCGAATGGTGAGAACACAAGAAGCCCTGAGGCGAGCCTTCGCGCACCGCGGTCTCATCCACATCAAAGACATCAGAGCTGACACCGTTGTCTGGATGAAATGGCATCAGTGGGCTGATGACAGGGCGCTATCCAGTCGATGGGTGTAGATGAGTTGAGAAATGAACGCGATCCTGGCCGTTAGAAGGGACTCGCTACCCAGTTTTTTAATGTGCCTTTGGCTCACTGGGTGTCGGCCGAAGGTGGCCATGCTCTGGAAAAATTGGAAAGCAAATGAGATATCTCTGTTGGATTCTTTCGTGGTTAGAACTTTGCCTTTGAATGAATGCTTTGAAGTAGTACATCGGTGGACCGTGAACGTTGCATTTTATACGCAGCTATGCATGCAGATAGGAAGTACGCTGGTGAAGCGCGAGTTCGATCCATCGTGTCGCTGCTAACAAATTGTTGTTGTTTTTTAGGAAACTTAGGTGTTGTGCGATGCTGCATAAAGTTCGTTGAAGTCTTACGGGCAAAACGCAGGTCGTGAACCCCGTTCCACAGCCTTCCTTCCCTCACTCACTGTGTGGCTTTGCAAACCCGGCAGAAAATGGACTGACCAATATCTGCGCTGGGATCCCTCCGAATACGACGGCATCAAGACCAGCATGTTCAATCCAGCCGTGATCTGGACTCCAGATATCTGCCACTATAATGGGTGGGTTACTGGCGGGTGTAGTCGACTGCGACGACCGTAGATACGCAGCGTGCCCTGGATCAAGCCAGTATATTTGCAAGGCAAATGACACTCGCAATGATACAGCTTGTCTCGTACCCATTGATGCGTTTGTAAACACGTTGAAAGTTGTGGCACAGTAGAACCTGAGCGTGTGATCCCGCTTTGTCACGGCCCCTGAGCGTTGATTTGACCAATGCCGTCCGCTGCCTTTCTATAAAAGGATGCTTGACGTGCGTTGCGTTCCCCTTCTTAAAAAAAAAAACGCGAACAATGTCTCCAAGCCGACGAGAATCTGTGGTACGCGGCGCCTCGCCGCCACCGCCACCCTCGGGACATCACCCGGTCAACTCTGGCGTTGCGCCCAGCACGTGCGCCTCCGTGTGCCGGCAGCTGGGAGCGGTCGTGCCACATAACGGACAACCCGCGATCAAACGCCATCGTCGAAAGCGACGGCACGGTGCTGTGGGTGCCGCCCGTGCGCCTGTCGTCGCGCTGCGACCTCGACCGGACCAACTGGCCGCGCGACACGGCCACCTGTTGCATCAAGTTCGGCTCCTGGACTTACAACGGCCACCGGGTCAACCTGTCTATGTTCACGTCCTATGAGGTCAGTGGCCATCTGTCCCACCAAGTTCGGCTCCTGGACTTACAACAGCCACCGGGCCAACCGGTCCATGTTCACGCCCTGTGAGGTCAGAGGCCACCTGTCCCACCAAGTTCGGCTCCTGGACTCACGACGGCCACTGGGTCAACCGGTC